CTTTGGGACAATTGTTAAGAATGAGCATTTAAAAAAAAAAACAAGGAACAACAACAAACATATAAATTGCAACCGAGATAAAAGCAAACTCACCATACCTCCTACTCCCCGGGCCCAGTGACAGAACCACCTCTTGACCTTACAGAATGGCGACAGGATTGAGGAGAATCAACTCCCTGAGACAGGAATATGGTATTCTGAATGGCAAAAGCCACGAGAGACAATGCTAGTTTGCTGGGCCTTTCCTAACAGACCAAGAGCAGGAGAGCGTGCCCCTTCCACCAGATCTACTCGGGGGACGGGTAGATATAATTGGGGAGAGATACTCCCTCAAATTACCTGCCCCCCCCCCAAGGTCACAAAGAGCTTTATAGGTTAGAACCAGCACCTTGACTTGAACCCAGAAGCATGTGGGCAGTCAATACAACTCACGGCACAGAGAGGTAACACGGATCGAGCATGATGCAGATCTAACTGCCTACTCTGCTTGAGCATGACCTGTAACAGGGGTGTCAAACTCAATTTCATTGAGGGCCGCATCAGCATTGCGATTGCCCTCGGGGTGTGTGTGGCCAAGGTGGGTGCAGCCTACTGGGTGGGCGTGGACAGAGTGGGTGTGGCCTACTGGGTGGGCATGGCCAGCTCTACATCGTTCGCGTCAAGGGTGCCTGTGGGGGCCTGGGCAGGATTGGGACAGATCTGAGGGTCTCTGGCAGAAGGGGGTGGGACCGGGGCAAGCGCCAAGGCACGGTCCATTTCTTCATTCCTCACAAAGGGTGACCCCTCCCCAGCATGCACCCAGGGGATGGGGCCGACACGGCAGGGGCTGGTTCCTTGCTGTTCCCACACAGACTTGTGGAGCTAAGACTGAATGCGTTTCAGCATAGATGGCCACCACAAAATTGTACATTGGCTCCTTGCCGGCCTGGGCCAAGGCAGCGGGGGCCGTTCCCTCACTGTTTCCAGGATGGCTTTGCGGGCCACATGAAACCACTTTGCGGGCCGCATCCAGCCCCCGAGCCTTGTGTTTGACATGTCTGACCTGTAACATCCAGTCTCACTTTACGGAGGTTAAGAGTACATGTTTAGCCTGTGCATGCATTTAAATTGTTGTACAATCTCAGCACATGTCAGGATAATTCTCAAACATCAAGAAAAAAAAAACACATTAACAGATTACCCGAAGAGGCTCATTCCTCCAGCACAGAAAGAGAAATGAGCTTATGCTATTCAACAAATGCATGGTATAATACGGAGAAAAAGTGTGGCATAGCGATTTGAAGCAAAGAGAATTAGGTCATCAAGTCACCTTGAATCAATGATTATCTCTCCGTCTTCAACTACTTGAAGAAAGAATTAGGGAAACAGTAGCAGAGGATGACCAAGGATCTAGTTCCCTAGAGGAAGCAGAGGATGAAAATTAAAATAACTCTGACAGACAACAAATTTGCAGACGACACCAAGCTGGCAGGAATAGCCAACACTCCAGAAGACAGGCTTAAGATACAGGAGGATCTGGACAGACTTGAACACTGGGTACTATCTAACAAAATGAAATTCAATGGTGAAAAAAGCAAGGTTCTACATTTAGGCAAGAAAAACCAAATGTACAGGTATAGTATAGGGGGTACCTTGCTCAATAGTAGTAACTGTGAGAGGGACCTCGGAGTCCTAGTGGACAATCATGTAAATATGAGCCAGCCGTGTGCTGCAGCTGCCAAAAAGGCCAACACAGTGCTAGGCTGTATTAACAGAGGGATAGAAAAAAGATGTTGAGACTCTAGAACAGTGGTTCTCAACCTTTTTAATGCTGCGACCCCCCAACCGGTCATAACTCGAGGACTAAACGGTCATAAGTCGAGGACTACTCAACCGGTCGTAAGTCGAGGACTTTCCCTGCCTGGCAGCGCCATGCATGCATGGTGCTGACCCCTGCGCCGGCCGAGGCGTAGCTGGCAAGCGGCAGAGACGGAGCAGGCCGACCACCGGCTGGGCCACCAGCTGGCCCAGCCCAAGGGAGGTAAGGCACCCGCTGGAAAAGGGGAAAAAAATGGCAGACAGCCTTGCTTGGCGACCCCCGTGAAATGGTCGATCAACCCCAAATGGGGTCGCGACCCATAGGTTGAGAACCGCTGCTCTAGAAAGAGTACAGAGAAGAGCAACAAAGATGATTAGGGGACTGGAGGCTAAAATAAACAAGGAACAGTTGCTGGAATTGGGTATGTCTAGTTTAATGAAGAGAAGGACGTGGGGGGACATGATAGCAGTGTTCCACTATCTCGGGGGCTGCCCCAAAGAAGAGGGAGTCAAGCTATTCTCCAAAGCCCCTGAAGGCAGGACAAGAAGCGATGGATGGAAACTGACCAAAGGGAGAAGCAACCTAGAACTAAGGAGAAACTTCCTGACAGTGAGAACAATTAACCAGTGGAACAACCTGCCTCCAGAAGCGGTGAATGCTCCAACACTGGACGTTTTTAAGAAGAGACTGGACAGCCATTTGTCTGAAATGGCATAGGGTTTCCTGCCTGAGCAGGGGGTTGGACTAGATGACCTCCAAGGTCCCTTCCAACTTTACTACTGCTACATCATCATCATCATCATCATCATTATTATTATTATTACTATAGATCAGACTGTGATGCCCCCTCAGACTGCTGTCCAAGATGCCTGCCCTGGAAGGAAACTGCTGAACTTCATGCCAAAATCCTAATTCCTGTAGCAAAAGACAGGCTGCACCACTGTGTCTCTTTCCACTTGCTCCGAAGAGAAGGCAAGGAAAAGTTCTAAGGCTGCTTCCTTCAGGGGAATCATCTCCTTGCTCACTTTCAGAAGAGAGAAGGGAAGGTGGAGATGGGTCAAGGTTGAGGGAGGCCTTGAGAAGCCTTGATGGCCATTGACCGCTCTCTGAAGTAAGACAGGGCAGGAACCAACAAGAGGCTCTGTCTTCCAAGAGGCAGCGATAGCGTAGCGTTTTTATAGCGAGGGAGAGATACCCCTACTCTAAAATGTCCCGCCAGCACCTAAAATTGGAATAGGTGACATTTATACACCACCACAATGTGGCATACTTGATGAATAATTACACCCTAGGGCAGGGGTAGGCAACCTTGGCTCTTTTATGACTCGTGGACTTCAACTCCCAGAATTCCTGAGCCAGCATGGGGGAACTATGGCCCCTTCATGACTCGTGGACTTCAACTCCCAGAATTCCTGAGCCAGCATGGGGCAACTATGGCCCCTTCATGACTCGTGGACTTCAACTCCCAGAAGTCCTGAGCCAGCCATGCTGAGGGGAAAGGGAGAGGTTTCCAAGCTGAGCCATGCTGGCGTGCCCACAGAAAGGGCTCCGAGTGCCGCCTCTGGCACACGTGCCATAGTTTCACCACCACTGTTCTAGTCCAACCCCCTGCACCCACAACCACAACACTGGTTCACTGTCCTCACTGTTGGTAAGTGTCTAACAGTGAGGACAATTAACCAGCATTAATTAACAATTAACTCAGAGATGATGGGTAAAAGCTGTCTGTCCTTGGATGCTGCTGTGGTCAATCTGAAAATGGCCTCGTTCTCCTAGGAGTTGAAAAAAGGTATATTCTTCATGAAAAAAAAGGACATTTTGGGGAGGCTTAACAATAACAATAATAATAGACTGGGAAGGGACCTTGGAGGTCTTCTAGTCCATCCTCCTGCTGGGAGTTGAAGTCCACCAGTTATGAAGGGGCTAAAGTTTCCCCCATGCTGGCTCAGGAATTCTGGGAGTTGAAGTCCACGCGTCATAAAAGAGCCAAGGTTGCCTACCTCTGGCCTAGGCCTAGGCCGCTTTATGACTCGTGGACTTCAACTCCCAGAATTCTGAGCCAGCATGAGGGAAACTTTGGCCCCTTCATGACTGGTGGACTTCAACTCCCAGAATTCCTGAACCAGCCATGCTGAGGGGAAAGGGAGAGGTTTCCAAGCTGAGCCATGCTGGCTCAAGAATTCTGGGAGTTGCAGTCCACCAGTCATGAAGGGGCTAAAGTTTCCCCCATGCTGGCTCAGGAATTCTGGGAGTTGAAGTCCACGAGTCATAAAAGAGCCAAGGTTGCCTACCCCTGGTTTAGGGAGTTCAAAAGGTCCTCGGTGGGCTTCCTCATCTTTCACCTCCAATTACGCTATAAACTAAGCACTGCCATATTCTTGCTGCTGTCTGTTGGCCTGGGAAAAGATAATGCTTGGACAACTGCCTCTAAATTGTCCTCCCTTTACCTGATTGCCATCCCAGAGAAGTCTTTCCGCTGCTTTTCAGCGTAAAATTAACAAAAGCATCATATCTTTGCCTTAGATTTATCCGAAAAGAAACAATGCGATGATACTTAGCTACTGACTGTGACACGAATGCACTTCTATAGAACGCGGCATTTGGTTAGCTATCTTAAGTCCAGGAAGAACTATCTGGGCAACAGCAGGCAGCCCACGTTCTTGTACAACTTCGGTTTCCAGTCGGATTCTATCACCGTCTCCACCATCAAAAGCGAGTCCCAGGTTCGTCCTCTTCAGAAAGCCAGCCATGCACGCGTTCTTTTTGCACCCGCTATAACCTCCCCGCCAACTTTTCAGTCAGGCCGTTTACGTAGCCTGTTTCCCCCCCCCCCCAAAAAATTATAATTTTTAAACTATTTATTAAAGGATATGGAAACATATGGAAAATCCATTAGGTGGACCAGGGCTGTTTTCTTTAATGAAGAAACGAAGTGGACAATCATTCCCATTCATTGGTTCTCTACGCCGAAGACAGAAAAATGTTTCTAATCGTGAGGTGAGTGCGGAAGGGGAGAAAAAAAATATATGACATGACCAGAATACAGCCCCTTTGTTTGCAATTTCATTCCCACCCAGCTCTCCAACGGCACCAACTTTGGTTCACACATGCACGCACAAAAAGACGACGGGAAAATTCCTGCCAGATCAGAAACAGGTTAAAAAAATCATCATCATCATCATCATCCTAAAAGTTTGGGTACCTTTAGCCCAGCATATTGGAAATGGACTACAGCCGCTCCTCTCCATGTACGTAACACCTGCTTGCTTCCGGGCCTGCTGCCCGGACAAATCCAACAGCCACATACACACAATTGTGCAGGGGTCGTGCCAGGCTCCGGGCGGCAGTGACAATGATCCAATTCAGCACTCTCTCTCTCTCTCTCTAGTCGGATTGACTCCTGGGGGTGGGCTGGGAAGTCTGCCACTTGAATGGACTCCGGCGACAACGGCAGGGGGAGGAATCCCGGCTAGTCTCTTGTTTGCTTCACTTTGGCACAGAGGTGGAAGCCAAAATTGAGGAGAACCTCTCCCCCCCCCCAGCAGCCAGCCCCTTCCTCGGTGATCCGATCCGGCAGCCAGAAGGCTGTAAGGCAGGGTCTTTCTCTGCCTTTTTCCCCCAGACGAGGAAGCAAAAAGGAAGGTGACCAAACCAGCCGCAATGTGACTGCCAGTGTCTCTATTCCTAGATTCATTGGAGAGGGGGGGGAGGCGGGAGGGGGGACTGGAGGGAGGAGGGGGAGGCGATTAGCAACAGCCTTATTAATATGCTAATCTCAGCCTTCTGTTCAATTCACTCAGCAGCCTCCTATTTACAAAACTGACAGCAGATTCTAAAAACTGACCCGGGCTTGCTTCTTGGAGCTGCCCCCCACCCCGGAACCACTCGCTTTTAAATCTGTGCCTCTGGCTCCTGACCGACTTTACCGGAGGACGGACGACTGGCGAGAAAGGCGGGGGGGGGGGAGGAGGGAGAGAGAGAAATGATTCACTGACGGGAATGTGGAGAGAAGTCTGCCATAAACATGGGAAGGCTGAACTCGCTTAGCTGGGGTTCGTTTAAACATGAGTCAATTTTCAAACTGCATTCCTTTCTACAGCATTAGACGGGGGGGGGGGTGTCTTCCAACTTGGCCCTTTGATGACTTGTGGACTTCAACTCCCAGAATTCCTCAGCCAACGTGCCTGGCTGAGGAATTCTGGGAGTTGAAGTCCACAAGTCATCAAAGGGCCAAGTTGGAAGACCCCTGCGCTAGACCAAGGAGTGTCCAACCTTGGGGCAGCTTTAAGACCTGTGGACTTCAACTCCCAGAATGCCCCAGCCAGCGTGCCTGGCTGAGGAATTCTGGGAGTTGAAGTCCACAAGTCATCAAAGGGCCAAGTTGGAAGACCCCTGCGCTAGACCAAGGGGTGTCCAACCTTGGGGCAGCTTTAAGACCTGTGGACTTCAACTCCCAGAATGCCCCAGGCCAGCCATTCCCCCCCCCAGGAATTCTGGGAGTTGAAATCCACAAGTCTTAAAGCTGCCCAAGATTGGACACTCTTGCACTAACTAGACTATGTAGTTATTGAAAATACTTTCGGAATTTTAAAATACTACAGAAATATAAAAGTGGGTGTTTTTTTTAAAGTCATGCAATATATGCAATAAGAAATATATGCAATAAGAAATTATATGCATGGAAAATGGGATAATATGTTTTTTTTTAAAGTATCCCGTCTTTATTTTTGTGTGCAACCATTGTTTAAAACAGTGGTTCTCAACCTTTTTAATGCCGTGACCCCCCAACTGGTCGTAAGTCGAGGACTACTCAACTGGTGCAGCACCGTTTGCAGAATGGGCCTTTCGGCGGGCTCAGCAGGGCAGAGACAGCCTGGACAATTCCTATTGGCTTTTGAAAGCCAATAGAATTAGATTCTATTCGAGAGAGTCTATTCTATTGGCTTTCAAAAGCCAATAGAATAAAAGGGAGTAGCACAGCGAAGGAAAAGGGGAAAAAAATGGCGGACTGCGTTGTTTGGCGACCTCCGTGAAATGGTCGTTCGACCCCAAATGGGGTCCCGACCCATAAGTTGAGAACCACTGGTTTAAAACCTATTAAAACCAGTAAAGGTCAAAACATACTTGTGTGTAGCATAAACATTAGGATATATTTCATTTTCTTTAGCACAAGCACAGGATTGCAGAATACTAATGATAAATTCCCCAAATACCTGACTTGTTCTTATCAAAAAGTATTCTAATAACTGAGGGAGTCAAGCAGCTTTCTTTTCTAGGCACCCAAAGTCTTCTCTCCACAATATACCTATTACAGAGGTATAACAGTTAAGCGTTCTTTTTCTTGCTCAAAGTATGTTAACAGTGCTTTCCAGGTACGTTAAAATGGCTGGTGATGCACAACAGGTTGTTTCATTTCATTAATGATCCTTTATTTAGCTTGAAACCACAACCTGGTTTCAGAGCAGAGGCAGCTTCTACTTAACATCTAGGGAAATTCACTTTTCCCCCTTATATTTATCCAGTTAGCGTTCGATGGCAGCTGCTATCTTTCAGTTGCGTGAAAGTCAGAATATAAGCAATCGTATGCAAGGCAATTATGCCCCTTGCAATACAGATGGTCCTCAGTGGCAACCTGCTTAGCACCTGCTTCGGACGGCCACAAACCAGCTCCAGCTTAAATAAGATGTCAAGCATTTAGAGCAGGGGTGTCAAACTCAATTTCAATGAGGGCCGCATCAGCATTGAGGTTGCCCTTGGGGGTGGGGGTGGCCAGGGTGGGTATGGCCTACTGGGTGGGTGTGGACGGAGTGGGTGTGGCCTATTGGGTGGGCATGGCCAGCTCTACATTGTTCGCGTCAAAGGTGCCTATGGGGGCTTGAGCAGGAGTGGGACAGATCTAAGGGTCTCTGGCAGAAGGGGGTGGGACCGGGGCAAGCGCCAAGGCATGGTCCACCGGAGGAGCCTGTCTGCCGAAACCCCTCCACCGGAGCCCATCAAGCCGGACAGGTGAAGTAGGCGAGGGCCATTTGCTGGCCACTTCCAGGCAATGGTGCATTTCTTCATTCCTCACAAAGGGTGACACCTCCCCAGCATGCACCCAGGGGACGGGGCCGACATGGCAGGGGCTGGTTCCTCGCTGTTTCCAGATGGTCTTCCAGCATAGATGGCCACCACAAAATTGCACATTGGTTCCCGGCCAGCCATGGCCAGGGCCAAGGCAGCGGGGGCCGTCCCCTCAGTGTTTCCAGGATGGCTTCGTGGGCCACATGAAACCACTTCGTGGGCCGCATCCGGCCCCCGGGCCTTGTGTTTGACATGTCTGATTTAGAGTTTCAATTTCTAAGGCTGCCCACTATAAAACCTTATCCTGGAAGCTTGAAAAGAGTTAAAAGGATTACCGACAAACGTAAGCGGTTCAAAAGACGGGAATCAAAATGGCCATGCAGGGCTGGGAGAAGGAGGAAGCAGAATAAGCAAATAGACTTAATGGTAGATTCACACATCCTAAACTTGTTCCTGTGGGAAGAGCTTGGTTTTTAAGGATCTTTTAAAGGACAGTAGGATTGAAGCTATATGGAGGGGGGGGGGATTTTGCCCCAAGTATTCTACTATGGGAATACTATGAGTATTCTACTATGGGAACATCAGGGTTATGTAGTTCTTTGGATCCAATGGCTTTGGGAAGAATATGGATCCAGATGTAGCTCCCATTCACGGAAGATGCTGCAGCGGTCGTTAAGTGGTATTGTGAACCACTATTGTGAACGGTCGTTAAGTGTGAAAAACAGTCGTAAGTCACTTTGTTCAGCACTGTTGTAACTTTGAATGGTCACTAAAGGAACTGTTGTATGAGCTAGTATACGCGTTGCAATAAATGCATGGTTTGTTTAACCCAGCGGTTCTCAATCTGTGGGTCGCGACCCCATTTGGGGTCAAACGACCATTTCACGGGGGTCGCCAAACAATGCAGTCTGCCATTTTTTCCCCCTTTTCCTTAGCTGTGCTACTCCCTTTTATTCTATTGGCTTTTGAAAGCCAATAGAATAGACTCTCTTGAATAGAGTCTAATTCTATTGGCTTTCAAAAGCCAATAGGAATTGTCCAGGCTGTCTCTGCCCTGTTGAGCCCGCCAAAAGTCCCATTCTGCAAACGGTGCTGCACCAGTTGAGTAGTCCTCGACTAATGACCGGTTGAGTAGTCCTCGACTTATGACCGGTTGGGGGGTCGCGGCATTAAAAAGGTTGAGAACCACTGCACTGGACAATCTTTAAATCGAAAGTCTCTTCTCCCAGGTTCACACGGATGCTGCCCAAGGAAACAACACAACTGCTTTAAAGAGCTATGAGTAGTGCTACATGGGCTGACTCCAAAGCGTCGTTTTCTTTCAAATCAGAAGCACCACACGGTGCTAATATGAGTTAAACTTGATAAGATGAGAAAGATGAAGACAGGGTAGAAGTAACAAAAACAAGAATCAGCTGCAGGTCAAATTTTGAAACAATTTACTGTTTTCAAACCAAGATTCTTGCTCAGTGACAGTTCCGTGATATTAATTTCACAGTGCCGAAAAGGGCGACGTTGCCTACTTGTTTCAGAAGCGAAGTTATTTTTACTTTGTTTGTGTTTCAATTAGACTTAACGTTACCTTTCTTTCCTTCTCTCTAGAAACAGTGTTTTATTTCTATCAAATAATTACTCTCGCAATGAGCTTCCAGAAAGGACATGCCAAAATTTTAATATTGAAGATTATGGCCAACGGCTAATGAAGATAGTAATTCAGACCTCCTTCAAACAGATGCAGCCACAACTGTATTTATTTTTGCTAATGTTTTTATGCCATGTGTGTGTGAAAGAGAAAGGGAGGGAGGGAGGGACGGGGAGAGGGAGAGAAGGAAGGAGGGGGAAAGGGAGAGGGGGAGAGAGAAAGGAAGGGAGGGGAAGAAGGAGAGGGGGAGAGAGAGAGGAAGGGACAGGGGGAGAGGGAGGGAAGGAGGGAAGGGGAAAGGGAGAGGGAAAGAGAGGAAGGGAGGGAAGGGAGGGGGAAAGGGAGAGGGAGGAGGGAGGGAGGGAAGAAGGGGAAAGGGAGGGAAGGAGGGAGGGGGAAGGGGAGAGGGAGAGAGAGGGAGGGAGGAAAAGGGTGGGGAAAAGGAGAGGGAGGGAAGGAGGGAGGGGGAAAGGGAGGGAAGGAGGGAGGGGGAAAGGGAGAGGGAGAGAGAAAGGAATGGAGGGAGGGGGCAGAGGGAGGGAAGGGGAGGGAGGGAAGAAGGGAGGGAGAAAAGGAGAGGGAGGGAGGGAGGGAGGGAGAAGGAAAGAGAGAGAGAGAGAGAGAGAGAGAGAGAGAGAGAGAGAGAGAGAGAGAGAGAGAGAGAGAGAGAGAGAATTTGCCAGAATGTTGCTCACATGGTTCACAATACCCTGGCCGGCACTGGCTGCCACACTTCCAAATGAAGCTCTACAACGCAGCCACCTCTCATGTTTATTTTCCAAGAAAGTGTACGGGGCCATATGGAATCCAAGGTATTCCTGAAATTAAGATAATGCAGCAGACTGACATTTAAAATTTCCTTTAAAAAAAAAAAAAAGTGGGAAGCCATGTGGCTTCTGAGCCACAAGAAAGCTGCCTGCTGAGATCATGAGAGATGGTTTAAGG